TTTTTTTTAGTTTATAAACCTAAATATTATTGTTAACTAGGCTTATTAACTTTTTAACTTTACTTTTTAACTTTTCATGTAGATTTTTACCTTTTTTTCTTGACTTGTTAACTTTTTTTTTTTTTCAACTTAATTTCCAGTAGGTATTATATCCTTCAAGGGCTCATCTAATTGGTCAAATGCCAAAATAAAAAGAACAGCCATGTAGCAGGATCTTTGCTGGATATAGATCTTGTGCTTCTAGACCTCACTGAAGGATGGAGGGACTCCATTAGTAAGGGGTATGCAAGTGATCAAAAATGCTAACTTGCCTTATAAAGGGGTTAAAGATAAACAGAGACAAACCAGTAAAGACTAAAGGTGAGTTAAATAATGTCTTCTTTTTACCATCAGTTTACTTCTAATCTGACTGAAATGTCTTCTATAGTTTGAATTAGAACTATAGAAATAACTGAACTGAATCAATACCAGGAAGCACCATGTGACAGTAAGTATTATGACTCCTTTTTATCTTTACTGCCTTTTTCTGCGCCCTGCAGCAGCTGCAGCCTCTCAGTCTTTGGTACAATAGCCCCAAAAACGAGCAAAGTCTTGGATTCCAGAGGGATAGTCTACCTCTGCGCAGATTTAGTTGTAAACAAAGAAGCAGCGTGAAGAAATGATGAAAGCCAACGACAGTTTGACTCACACACTCGTCATCCTGAATGAGCTGGGCGATGCGATGAAGAAGGTCGGTGAGAGCTCTGCTCCGGATCAACATGGCAGCATGCAGGGAACAGAAAGCAACATATCAAATTGAAAAACACTCTTTTAATCCCATTGTGCTTTTAAAATATAAAAATGATGTCCTAGTCCAATCCCAGGACACCAATCATCACATTTAACAAAGATAGCTGGTGCAGATCTGTTGTAATAGAAGCTGAACTCAGCAAGAAGTAAAACCATATTTAAGGTGCTACTTAACAATCAGAGGTGATCTTGTTAAACTCTGATAGAGCTCTGAGTGAATGTGTCGACCTTATCAATTTGGCCAAAAAAGGCTAACCTTGTCAAAAGCTAATAGGATCAGCTATCAGGTAAATCCTTTTTTGTTTTCAAATTCAACTTTGAATAACATCAAAAAGAAAAGAAAAAAAAAACCTTAAATAAGATGCATGTGTCAACTGTAAACCAGAGGAACCTGTGAAGGTGGACGGTATGATTTATTTCCCCTTCATTGGGGAAATAAGACAACACACCCAGCTGAAGAGGCCTCAGAAAGGTGGAGCCAGCAGATCTAACTGCTGTAAGGGAAATTAATCTGTGTGCATCCTTCACCTGGACTTCATGGCAAAGTTCCTCCCAAGAGCAAGGTGACGAAGAGACTTGCATCGACCCACAGACAGAACCAGGGTCACCATGTCGTTCTCAAAACCTGAGGGTGAAACACAGGGGACACGGCTGATGGACGGTCACCATGAAACGGGTCACTGAGATCCAGTTCCAGTTTAAAATAGAATAGAAAATCCCTTTATAACCCAACCTTGGGGGAAGTTCTGGTGTTTACATCAGCAAAGGTTATAGAAAAAAAAAGTCACACAGATGTGGACCTTAGAAAAATGTATCAGACGTATTTTAACAATATAAAAACCGTGCACCTGGAGAATAAATAACCAATATCCAGCTATGGACATTTTTACAGTGATGGATATTTGAAAATAGAAGCA